ATGATCAGGACGAGAATATCAGTTACATGGAAGTAAAAACGAAGAAGATTTATAGGAGAGAAAGAGAGAGAGAGAGAGAGAGAGAACGAGAAAGAGAAAGAGAGAGAAAGAAAGAGAGAGAACGAGAAAGAGAAAGAGGAAGAGAAAGAGAGAGAGAGCAAAAAAACACGACAATGATGAACTCCGCCAAACATAAAGTACGAATATGCCTCCCTCTGCTAATACCTGCCAAGGTCACTAACCCTCGACATACCTCCGAGATCTAAGAAAAAGGCATCAGTGTTGACTCTCAGGGGTTGGAAGAGGAAGGAAAGAAGAGGAGGAGGAGGAAGGGGGAATAAAAAGTGGTGGAGAAGGAAAAGGAGAAGGAGAAGGAAGAAGGGGGAATAAAAAGTGGTGGAGAAGGAGAAGGAGAAGGAGAAGGAGAAGGAGAAGGAGAAGCAGGAGGATGAGGATGGGGATGAGGAAGTGGTGGAAGAAGAGGAAGTGGTGGAGGAGGGAGGCGGTGGAGGAGGAGACGAGGAGGAGGAAGAACAAGGAAGAGGAGGAGGAAGAACAAGGAGGAGGAGGAGGAGGAAGAACAAGAAAGAATGAGAAAAAAGAAGAAATCTTTACCCCTCCCTCTCCCTCTCCCCCCCGGCCCCCACCCGTCTCCCAGGACATCCTGCATGGCGGAGACGCGGCGAGTCAAGCGACGCAAAACGCCCGGGTCACTTTCCTCCTCTCCGCCGCCTCCATCTGCTGCCTTAACTAGCCATTCATCACCGTATCCTGTCTGGCAGCGCTCGGAAATGCACCGGCCTTGTTTTGGGCAATTTAAGGAGAGGGGAGGGGGGGGGGTGGAGGCAGAGTTGTTTATAAAGGAGACGAAGGAGAAGAAGAAGGAGAAGAAGGAGAGGAAAAAAAGGTGAAGACGAAAATAATAATTGGGAGATAATGAGAATGAGAATGTGAGAATGAGAGAATGAGAGAGAGAGAGAAAGAGAGAGAGAGAGAGAGAGAGAGAGAGAGAGAGAGAGAGAGAGAGAGAGAGAGAGAGAGAGAGAGAGAGAGAGAGAGAGAGAGAGAGAGAGAGATAGAGAGAGAGAGCGGAAAAAAACGGAATTAATAACAGATTAGCAACTGAATCGGTCTCTGTCAAGTAACAGTTCCGGGACCTAATTAATCAGAATTTAATCGAAGTCTTAAGCTGCAATGACAAATACGCTTTGATCTCGCTAACTGTTACAAGAGAGAAGATGGAGAGGGGAAAGGAAGATGGGGGAAAGGAAGATGGGGGAGAGGAAGATGGGGGAAAGGAAGATGGAGAGGGGAAAGGAAGATGGGGGAAAGGAAGATGGGGGAAAGGAAGATGGGGGAAAGGAGGGTGGGGGAAGGGAGAGGAGAACAGCGTGAATGATGATGACTGAAGGAAGATAAAGATGAAGTGAAGAAGATGAGAAGTGGAGAAAGACGGGGAGAACGAAAATGAGAAGAAGAGATGATAAAACGTAATTAAGAACCGGAGATAAAGAAAGGAGAACGCTGTGAAATAAAACAAAAGAAAAAGAAAAGAAGAATAACTGAGTAGGAGAAAAGAAGGAGTAAGGAGGGAGGGAAGGGGGAGGAGGCGAAGGGGGGGGGAGGCGAGGGAGGAGTGCCATTAGCGCGTAGGTGCCACCAATCAAGAGAAGAGTGGATAATGAACAGCAAAGAAGTAAATGACGAAAAAACAGCCGGAAGATGGCATGGCGGAAAGAGTAGGAAGCTGAATCTGATAACTTGGTTAAAAAGATGGGTGAAGGAAAAGGAGAGACCGAAGAACTGAATCCGGAAATTAATAATAAAAAAAAGACGGGAACTGCAATAAAAAAAGAAAAAGAAAAGCAGGAAGTTAGAAACGGAGAGAAAAAAAAAATACAGAAAGAAGGAAAATGAAAATATATGGGAAGGGGGGCGGGGGTCGAGGGGTCAAGGGTGTCACCATAATCCAGTGACAAAGAGTCACAGTATATGGCCTGCTAAGCAAACAAGTGTCAAGTGTCAAGGGGCTGACACCGGTGGCCCGCCCAGTTGGTGTCAGATCAGTGTCACATCGCCTACAAGCTGACCCTTTCTCACCCCCTACCCCTCCCCCCCTTCCTCCTCCTACCAGCTGCCACCATCCCCCTCCCCTACCCCCCATCATCCCTCCCCCCTCCTTGTTCTGCCCCCCCCCCCCCCTCCCCCTTTTCTTTCCGGCATCTGCAACCCGATCTTGGGTGTTTATTTCGCCAACATATTAATCTCATTAGTATCTTTGACTCACAGGCGAGCAGACACGGAGACAAGAGGACATGCGATACAGAGATGCGTGTGAGCATCGTTATTTATGATTGTTTCTCTCTCTCTGTCTCTCTGTCTCTCTCTGTCTCTCTCTGTCTCTCTCTCTCTCTCTCTCTCTCTCTCTCTCTCTCTCTCTCTCTCTCTCTCTCTCTCTCTCTCTCTCTCTCTCCTTCTCATTTCCTTATTCAACTATCTAGATTGCTGTTTTATCTTATTCCTTTGTAACGGAGAGGTGTGAGCACAAGAACCTATCATAGAAACAACAGTAATGACAATGGGAAAAAAAGAGAAGAGAAAAGTGCAGAGTAGGGAAAAGGGAAAACGGAATAGCAAGAATAAGAATGAAAGAGAAAACAGAGAAAAAAGAGAGGCCGGCCCCTACGCGGCGGGCAGCGGGCGTGCGGGCGTGCGGGCGAGCGGCGCCGAACCACCTTCACGCCTCGCCTCCTCCCCCCTCCCCCCCTCCCCCCTGAGAAGTGCGAAGACCCCGCAAAACACTATCATCGACCGCGAGACAAAGATACATATTTACATTGGTGGAAAAGATGATGCGGTCGAATAAAAAAAAAAAAAAAAAATAGTAAAATTGTGCTGTCAAAATACGCGGCGACAACAGGAAATGGCGAGTATGTTTTTATTGTGGGGTAAAGATTACCGTTTTTTTTCCCTTCGTTTTGATTACTTAGCGAATGATATGCGTTTTAGGGTTGTCCAAACTGGCTGGGGGAGAAATACGAAGGAATCTTATTGTATGTCTGGAATGTAGGAGGTGAGGGAAGTATAACAGAATAACACTACCACAATAAAAGGGACAATAAATGAAAGAAAAGAGGCACATAAATAAAATAAAGGAAGAATCAGACACAGATCGAAGGAGGAAAGCAACAACAGCAGCAAATATCAATAACAAACAGGACAAATCGTGGACGGAATTATCACCCCCAAACCACGGCCATTTTCGCTCGCCTTCCGGCCATAAACGTCTTCGGTGGGAAGGACTTCTGTCGAACTGCCCTTCCTCTCTTCCTCTTTCTCTCTCTTCTCTCCCTCTCGCTTTCCTCTCTTCCTCTTTCTATCTTTTCTCTCCCCTATCCCTTTCTTCTCTCCTCCCTCTTTCTCCTCCCTCTTTCTCCCCCCATCTCTCTCTCTCTCCCTCTCTCTTTCCTCTCCTCTCTCTTTCTTTCCCTTCTTCCCACACCCTGTCTTCCCTCTCTTCTCCCTTTCCCTTCCCTCTCTCTTTCCCTTCCCTCTCTCTTTCCATTCCTCTCCCTCTCTCTTTCCTCACCTCTCCCTCATTCTTCCCTCTCCTTTCACTCCCTCTCTCGGCCTTCGCCTCCGTGTGGCCGGCGAAGGGAAAACCTTTTTGCACCTTAGGCCTAACCGACGCTTCCTTGGATTCGCGAAACAATCGTGGCTTTTGTGTTTGTCTCTTGTATATAGGCCTGAGTGAATGGAAGGCATGAAACCCAATGTGTGTGTGTCAGAGGGATGGAGGGAGAAAGAGAGGGCGAAAGGGAGGGAGGGAAAGCGAAAGGGAGGGAGGGAGGGCGAAAGGGAGGGAGGGAGGGAGGGAGAGAGGATGAGAGGGAGGGAGGGATGGAGGGAGGGAGAAAGAGAGAGAGAGAGAGAGAGAGAGAGAGAGAGAGAGAGAGAGAGAGAGAGAGAGAGAGAGAGAGAGAGAGAGAGAGAGAAGGGAGGGCGAAAGAGAGGGAGGGAGGGAGGGAGGGA